AAAAAAAAAAAAAAGAAACTTTAAGACTAAATAATTACACAAATGTCAAGATCAGAGAACATACCCAAGAGAATTTTAGGGGGTCTACATCGAAGGAAAGAGACAGGCTGAGATATTTTCATGAAATATAACAAATCTTTTTTGTTTATTTTGGTAGAAGAGTATGACAAATCTTTGCATATCCCAAAGGGGACTATAATTTCTATTCTTTTTTTTTTTTTGTTAAATCTTGAAGGAAGCAGTAAATTAGGCAACAAAAATGCCGTCAACGGGAGTGGCAGGAAAAGAATGAACGTAACAGTGCATACTACAAAAATGTAGTAGGGTAAAAGAACCATATGAACAGTGTGGCTGCCACGATCTGATGAAGGAATCCACAGGCAACTACGTGAATAGAGTCACAACATCTCTACGGTACCCTCTTACGAGCAAAATCCTTGATACTTTTTCTACCAACAGATCCATGTACTCCATGTAGCAGTATGCCGGATGGTTGACTGGAGGTGGTGGCAAACTTACAAGCACAACAGCAGCCATTCTTGAGTATCTCAATATTGTCGAGTTAAGTTTCAGGGTTGTAAAAAGAAACTTCTCCACCTGTTGCTCGTTTACTACAACAGGCTTGCCATCAGTTATCAATGGCGTCCCATTTTTTTCAGCTGTCGCCTTTATTTCAGCCAAGTAATTTATGATCCGCTTCTGAGCAGAATTAAATGCTTCCATAGATTCATCTTGTTGACCTCCACCTTCAACTTGCAAATCCCATGACTTTATTGTTATAACAATCACTTCTGCTTGCATTCGAAGATCGTATAAAAACTTCTTCACATCAGCCTTGAGTGCCTCTGCATCTGAATCCTCCTCTGCAATGCAAAAGACCTGAATCTTACAGCTCTCAAAGCTCTCTTTTGTGAGAAGCAGCTGAGACAGAAGGAGCATCAGACCACCATCTCTTACAATCCAATACAAATCAATGGTACCATATTGCCTTTGATATTCGTTGGGCCATTCATCGAGGCCTTTCACAATGACAACTGCCTTGTTTGCAACAATGCAGTCGTTGATTATTGAAACAAACGTGGCTGGGATTTGAGATAGGTTTTCACGACGCCATATTTCGGGGTACCGCATCACCACAATATTAGGTTTGAGATTGCCGAGGCCCATGGTCTGTACAATTCCACGGAAGCCTTCAGTCATACTAGGGGCTACAACTATCTCTGCAACACCTTCACAACGCTTATACTCAATGTAGGCATCTAATTGCTTGCAGGCTGCCTTGGCATCTTCAGCACGTTCATAATAGTCACCATCCAGTATGGCAAAAAATATGGACATTCCACGGCCTTTTTTCTTCATGCAGTTGGCAAAGTCAGCAAGTTTGGGATGGCATGGTACATTATCTGGCAGCTTTCCCCATGGCCGGCAGAATATTAGTGGGATGGGATACCAGTTCTTTGGGTGCACTTGGTTTGCTGCACATTTAACATGTCAAGTTGTCAACTACCAAAATAGAATGACCAAAAAGGAAAACTACCAGGACTACAGAACATGCAAACATCCACTGCAAAAAATAGAAGGGATATAAAACATACCTCCTAATGATCTAAGACTGCGAAGGGCTAGTTGAAAATATGCACTTTTGAAACCATCACCCCAGTCCCCGGCCTTTCCTTTAATACTCACGTAATAATATATGAGACTTGCAAGGGCCAAAGATACGATGGTAAATGACCAAGAGATCAAGAACATGATCACTGCAGTAAAAGAACAGCAAACAAAAAGCAGCATCTAAGTAAGAATGTCACAGGAGAATAATTCCACCACTGCACACACAACCAAGCATAAAACCATAAAGTGGCTGGCAAAATTTGAACCAAATTCACCAATCTGACAAAAACCATTCCACTTGAATTAATATGAAAATTCTGCTCATTCTACCAGCTTCTCAATGACTGTCACAGGATTTCTAAATGATTCCCCAGGATATGAAGATACAAAAGAGAGAATTGAAATGCTGCTACCCCTTCCCCAATTGATACCCTATGCTCATAATTCAGTACATGTTCCTTCACACAGATTGATAAAAAAAATCTAACTGAATGAGAAGCTAAAGTATGGAGTATAAGTGGCTCTTCCCCTCTTACAAAAATATCCATTTAAAATGAAAAAAAAAAAACAGAATGCACATATCATGTCAAACCCACAAAGGCACCATGTGAAGAACCATACCAATATTAATAGAGGCTCCAAGCAGAGAAAAACTCCAATGGTGAAATTTCCACCGAGGTCGCCAACTGGGAGCATCTAGGAGATCCAGAAGGAAGCAGGACAAGTTTACACCCGCATAACACAGAAGGAAAAACATGGTTATAGTTGGTGTGATAAGATCCAGATTCCCAATAACAACACACCCAGCACAGATGATAGAAGTAAAGAGGGTAGCAATGTAAGGCTCTTTTCCATCTGCAACCTTAAAATAATTGAGAATAGGGAGAATATCGTCATTAGCTATTGCTGCAAGAAGGCGAGGAGCACCTGTCAAGCTCTGAAGAGCTGCACCTAAGGTTGAAAGAATAATTCCAATTTGAACAATCACTGGGAATGGCCAAGCAACTGAAGCCGTAAGTAGCCTGCACCACAGCCACACTTTAGTGCTAAAACAATAAGAATTCATAGAATTTGAAGGCACAGCTAGGGAACACACTGTCCAGATGCTGGAGGACCCATGGAGAACCTGTCTGATCAGAAAGTATCAGTACCTGTCTGTCAAGAGCTTTTCTCTAGTTGCAACAGCTCCAAAAAGTAAGACAGAGATCAGATACAGTCCTGTAGTTGTGAGAGTTGCAGCCAGTGTTCCAATGGGTATTGAACGCTGGGTGTCCTTCAGTGAGGCTGATCGATTTGAACCTGCCATAATTCCTGTCACGGCAGGAAAAAACAGACCAACCAATGCACTGGAAAAGCATAAGAAAATATACACAAGTTAAAGAGGCACACAAGGAAAATATGCTAGTTACAGAAACCAGAAAGAGGCTTAATCCATTCCACAGAGAATTTGCTTTAAATGTTACATACAAACAACATCACAACAACAGAAGAAATAGCTTAGAAGTAATTTTCTATTCCTAGAATTCATGTAAGGTGAGCTTTTAAGTTCTAGAGACATACTTTTGAATAATGGTCCTATCATAGAAAAACTGCAATGTTTGGAAATAGAAAATGAGAATAAACACAAATTTAAAAGGATTTTTAGGTCAGGCCAAATTCTAAGAACTTTCACATCAACACCCAACCATTCCCAAGTAAAGAAACCAAAATAGAAAGAAGTGTTTTCTAGGAAAAAAGGGAAAGAATACTCATTACTCAGGAAATAAGAGAACATGTGTATTTAAATGGGTTTAACTATAAGAAAAGCATGTATTTGTTAACAGACAAGAAGGCATCATGGTCACCCTGGTTCTAATTTCTAAACTAATGAAATAAAATATTATATATATTTACGGTTTGAACCATCCAGGAGATCAGACATACAAAGGTGGTACAGTGCCTCTTAATAAGGTAAATTTCACAAAATTCAACCATATAAATAACATATGCTAGCAAAATTGAAGATTCTTACTTGAAATTCCAGTACACCTTTCCATCAGCATCAGGGATTCCAGCTTCATTAGTAGTCTGATAATCTGAACCCCAGTTCTCCTTAAAGCTTTCCAAACTCAGGCCAGTAACTCCAGCTGTATCAATCATTCCAAGAAAGTGAAATGTTTCATTTATCACCATAAATATACAAAAAAGGCCCAAGCTGGTTTTCATATTTTTTAAATAAAAATAAAGTTGCTAACATAAGGGGACTCAGTGACTACATACTACATTCTGTCCAAGTTAGAACCAAAGAAGACTAGGCATGTATGCCTAAAATGTCTGAATTTCCAAATATAGTCTGTAAAATTGCAATCTACAACCCCTAGTAACAAGCTGATAATGGTAAGTAAATTGATAGGTAATCAAGACCTTTTTAGCTCTTAGCAGAAAATTCAGTCCATGGAGAACCATTGAGTTCAGGAAAAAAACGAAAAGCTTGAGGCAGTAGCATCAAAGAAATATACTTCATCTATGGCTGCTTATGCCACCATAAAAAGGCGTATACATTACTAAAGTCGCTTCTGTTGATTATGCAACCGATCCTATATCTTGTTTGAGAAAAAAAAAAAAAGTAGAAAAGAAAATTGATGATAAAGTGAGGGTAGGGAAGAAGAAATAGGTCAATCCAAAGGAAATAAGTAGAAACTCACCTACAGGGTCATCCTTCCTTGCCAAAAAGATCCCAATAATTATGCAGAAGACTGAGAATAAAACAGGTATGAGGAAAGCAGGGGCAACACGATTTATCATTTTCACTCCACCAAAAACAATAAGACATAGAATGATGGTCACAACAATCCCATAAATTTGCAGGTCATGGGAACTTATACTCTGTACTGGTTCTGATATTGTACCATTAACCTTTGTAGTAGCCTCTGTGTAAGGGCAGGATAATTGAAGAATTAGAAATGAATTAGTACAAGAATTGTTTCCAATACCAATGAAGTAAGAACTTTAAACGGCTTGGTGATATGGAACAACCAGATGCCAATATAGGGAAAAAAAAAAAAAAGGAGGCTTTAAAATATAAATAAGTACCAGTAAAAATCTCAGCAGCAGGCATAGCTTTTAAAAAGGTCTCTACAGCTCCCAGAACATAACTGCATTCACAATTAAAAGCACATGGAAGATATTGATGTTAATGTGAGTTCATCATAGAAAAAAATAGATTGTATTATTTGTATGATAATACATTAATTTTGGGCCCCAACTCCATTATATAGTGACCTAGAACAATGGATCTAATAGATCTACCAAGAAAGATCCAGAAAATTATACTTACAGAGCTCCAGCAATTGCATTGCCAAGGAAGAAACATAATCCAATGCTAACTCCCACCTCAGGACCAAGAGCACGGCCTATGAGATAATATGGACCCCCACCCTGGAAGCAAATATAACTAGAGGAAATCAATAAAATTTTCTAGCACAAAGCTACTTAGTAAAAGTTTCAGAAATCCAAAAACAAAGTAATAACAGCAGATTCCAAACAAGTAACTTATCAATCTTGGGTGTCAGATAATACATATAAAGCATTTCCATCCCCTAATAGTTTCACAAAGTAATTAACCCAATATGTAAAACATAATCAAATTAATATGTGTACCTTCATGGCTCCATTAGTTGCAATTGCACTCAATGATATTGAAGTCAAGAAAGTACACAATCCACAAAATGCTACCAGTAATAGTGATTCACCAATGCCAGCCATGCCAACAATCCTGCAATTTGCATAAATCTGAGAATAATTTCCAAACATATGACTGGTCTAAGGTGAAAAAAATGGAATTAATAATGTCGATAAGGAAATAAATTCAAAACTAAATAAAGAAAAAAAGAAAATGAACAACAAACTTTATGTGAAAGGGGGAAAGGATGTTGGAATAGGGAAGGCAGAGAGGGTCAGCATGAGTCAGGAGATGATTCCTTATAATCCCACTAAATGATAGCAAGCATCTATTATCCTAAAAGAACCAGCAACTAGATGCTACTGAAAAAAGAAAACATTTCTGTTGATAACTAATTTCATAAGCAGCATCACCAATCGAAAACATGAAAATACTCAATTTAGATTTACACATGCAAATGAACAGAAGAGGTTGCACATGACATAAAATAACAATGGCACAAGATTGGGCTTACCAAGAAAATCGGATATAGTAGATAATTCCCAATATGTTTTGCAGGCATGGAACAAACACACCCATCATTGTACCCAGTTTGACATCAGAAGGCTGCCAAAAATGCATGTTTAAAGACACATAACAGCATCATAAATGCTCTAAAGTACAGTCCTGACGTGTTTGAAATAAATAAATAAATAAAAGGAAAACCATAAAGATGCATGGAAGATTAAAAGAATGCAGTTGTCAGCCAAATCTCAGTTTTATGTTATTTCAAATGAAATTTGTACTAAGAAAATTCCGAAACTAAAGGATAGCCTCTCCCCCTTGTTCTACAATATTTTCTTCTTTTGCCCTGCCTCCCCTTGTTTATGTTTTTTTTCTTACCCTATGTTATTGTTGATAATGACAATAGGGATGAAAACCACGACAATGATGATATTTGAGTAAGCAATTCATGATAGTTGAAATGGTACATACCTTTCGACGTCCATCTGTGGTGAAGGCATCTTCACCAACCCTAGGGCTAGAAGGCGTTTGAACGTGCTCCCCTGTCATACTGGAAAACAAGTCATGAGGAGATAGTAATCACAACTTAAAACTGAAGATTAATGACATGATATGTTGTTTATTTAAGGAAAATAAAGACATGACAAAGAAGCAAATAGGCAACAGACTGTATACAGAAGGTGATACTTGCAGGACAATGTAAATGCACCATTTTGAAAACACATTAAAACACCTAATAATGGTCCAATTTTTCAAAGTGTGACACTAACTTCAAAATCCTGAACAAATAAAAGAGAGTGGAATCACAAACCTTTTGAGACCTAGAATATTGACAAGAGAATCAAAACCAAACAATTCCAACTTATGCTCCCCAGGGGGGCCATTGGCTTGCTCATCAGCGGGTGCTGAACCTTCCCTTCCCTCCGCACCCATGTTTGCATTTGTGCCTACTTTTATTTTCCTGCCAGGATATATAAATAAATATGAGGGAAAACATATCAAATTATGCTACTGAGTATAAATTCTCACGTAGCATGATTGCATTGTATAGCCGACACAGTTCCTAACTTTGATTCAATATGTACTCGCAACAAGAATATGAACAACTGATTACTTTGAAAGGCAAAAGAAGAATCAGTTCCTCGAAAAAGTTATTATTTGACATTCATCCATTTCAAGATGAAACTGACATCCATAGAAAAATTTCTCATGATGTGGAGTGTACTTGAGCAACAGAAAAAAAAAGAAAGAAACATAAACCTTCCTGAATTGAATTCCATATTTTCAAACAGCAAAAACAAGCAGAATTACATTAAACTTATGGCTATCAGAGAGGGTGTGTTTACGTGAGAGACGGTTGATGGGCGGGAGGTTGAGCAGAAGAGGAAGATCCAAGATCCATGGATGACATCTCGACGACGGCACGATCGTTGTTGGCGACGACGGGTCTGTATTTCCGACCTCCTTTCCCCTGTAATCCTTCATCTCTACCACCTTCAGCATCGGCATTGTCCATTCCCGGTTCCGATAATCTTCCCGATCCAGTCACACGATTCAGATCCGACGAAGAACTAAATCGAAGGGAGGGAGGAGGGAAGTAAAGGAAGAGATCTCGGATTGAAAATGGATTTGCTTATGTATATATATCAAGTAAGTAGCCGGGAAAAGACGTGGAAAGAGACGTTTTCTCTTTCTCTTAAATAAATAAATAGAGATTAAGAAGAGCATGTAACGAGAAAACAGCGAGCGTTCAATTTTTATGTTTTATTTATTTTTGGAAAAAGATAGCTTTAAAGGATGGACTGTACACAGGGACGAATCAGAAAATAATGTTAGAGGTATACTGTTATTTCAATATATATGTTAGAATTAAAAAAAAAAATTTTGTTAAAATTTATGCATATTTAAAATTTAAAATTTTAATTTACAATGTAACTTTTATTACAAAATATTACTTATATTTAATATGGTACAATCAGTAAAACTAAATGGTTTAAAAGAATGATAATATTGTTATTTAATTTTTTTTATTAATCTCTTGCTATTTAGATCTAATGATCCGAACTTGAGACCTTAATATATATTATAATGACTGACAAATATGTCAAATAAATAAAAATGCTTAATAAATCTATTTTACTTGTTAAGCAGTGAGTGATTTATTGAAAAAATGTGTAAATAAGAATATTAACTTTATAGTTTTTATTTTAAAATGTTAATTTTATTAATTTTTAAATTAA